TGATGATGATGATGATGATGATGATGATGATGATGATGTTGTTGTTGTGGTTGTTGTTGCTCTTGCTGTTGTCTTTGCATCTTCGAAAATTCAAATTCTTACTGTTGAAAAAAGGAAGAAGATGTACTTAGTGTATAAACAAAAACAAATATTGTGAAAGTACAGTATGATAAAAGACGGCCTCTCCTTCAAAATATGTTTGAACAGTTGTGTACATTTAAACAGCTTGTCGACGATACGATAATGTGCTGGATTAACCCCTTCACTGCTGAAAAATCTCCATCAACATCTGTACCTACAAGATTAAATGTTACTTCAAGGAAAATTCAAACACAGAGAATTGTTTCACAATAAGCAAAATCACAAGCTGTAACTAAAACAACTAAAAATTTAGTCAACAAGACGAAACAATAGGAGTGGAGAATACAAGCCAGAACCTACGTCTACCCAGAAGTGAAGAGGTTAATGCAAGGACGAGAAAAGTAGAAGAGATAATTTCATAATACGAGGAGTCCACTGAAAAAAACAGTTATAGTCACACACTGGAAATTGTGAGGGTGTCAATTTTAAAATTTAATGGACTCATAACTTCATATTTCTTTGATTGGTGGTTTATAGTTATGTTTGCTGAAAGAAAAATCTAACAACAATAATCAACCACCAGCTGAACATAGATATAGTTATGAGTCAACAAGTGTTCAAAATTGATACCCTGACGATGTTCAATTTTTTGACTGTGCCCGTTTTTTTCAGTGGATCCCTCATATGGATGTGCAGATTGTTTTGCAGCAAAACATTCATCAAGTAACGTCCCACAAATCAGTCAGTTTTATGCGCATGTGACTAGACAAGTTATATGAAAAATGATATACTCAAATACACCAAGGGCCACTCCGTTACCTCAGTTGGTATCAAGCTAGACTCCGACACCGATTGCCTTGGTTCGACTCCCCGACAAGACGTTTTGTGAATTCGTCATTTTGAGGAGGTTTTCAGGCTCTCTACCTTTGACTCGGTGATATCGGAGACGCCTCAGAAATAACCTAGTAGTGTTGACAGGGGCGTAAATCCCACACACTTCCTGTACACTCACAGTCCACAGGTTTGAACTCAGTCCCACCTGAGGTTCTGTTCATGAAGAAAGTAAATAACAATGACAAACTGAGAGAATGAGCATAACTCTTTATAAAAGTAACAGCACAATCATTATTATAAACATTACTTTTGAAAATTAATTTACAAAAGCAAGCAGATATGATAAACTGTTACTAAATTGTAACAGATGACAGAAAAAGTAATGTAAAAAGAAAAATTAGAGGAGAGATAAGGATAATAGATGTGTCTCAGCACAGAAGGAGCAAACCCCACCAGAGCACCCACCACCCGCCCACTATGTTGCGTCCACAGGGGACATCACCCATACAGCTCCCGTGTCCTCGTCTGAAAGGTCATGACACCGTGACCTTGACCCGGCTGGTTGACCCCCGGGAGGTGGAGGCCAGGGGGCAAGTACTGAGTCACGTGGACAGTACAGGAAAACTCCACACGGTGGAGACGGGTCAGTGGCTCGCTGGTTGTTGTTGGTGGTGGTGTTGGTGGTGTTGTTGTTGTTGGTGGTGGTGTTCCTGATGTTGGTGATGGTGGTGGTGGTGGTGTTAGTGGTGTTGTTGTTGTTGTTGTTGTTGTTGTTGTTGTTGTTGTTGTCGTTGTCGTTGTTGTTGTTGTTGTCGTTGTTGTTGTCGTTGTTGTTGTCGTTGTAATAGCAGCAGTTGCTGTAGTAAAAGTAGTGGCAGCTAATACTGTACTCATATACTATATCTTTTTGGCCCTAAAATCTGGAACTCCTTGCCCCAGGATCTCAGGAAAATAACAAATCTGAGAACGTTTAAGCGATTGCTTAAGACTCATTTGTTTAGTTCTTAGAACTAGTGTGGAAATAAGTGCTGATAGGTTTTGTTTTTACTCCTGTCCTGACGTGTATAGACTTAATCTATCGTTGTGAAAGTTCTTCTTTATGTGGTTGTACTGGTATATGTGTGTGTGTGTGTGTGTGTGTGTGT